AGCTGGCCAGGAGAAATTCCAAAGGACTTCTTCACGCACTAGGACGTTCCATTCTGGCAGCTTGCTCAGAAGATATTCAGTTCACAAAGTCCTAGCCTAAGCGTGCCCTGTTCAACATCTGTGCCTTTGCATTGGAGCATTTTCTATAAGGTCTCACTCCACTACTCTCCAAATGTGCAAAATGAGATGGACTCCTCCCCTTTTACATGGAAAGATACATTGCATATTTTTTGTCTTTTTGTGCATGTGGAGAGTAGTGGAGCGAGGCCTGGAGCAAATTTGAGCTTGGTGCTCCTTTGAGCCCTTCCCCTCTCCTTTCACGTTGCACCATCCTCTGACCAGCATAAGGCCAGTGCCACAAATTTCCTTAATGTCCGATGGAGGCTGCCCAAGGTTTGACAACCTTATAATGACATTTTTTTCCCCATGGTTGCAAGCCGCTGCCACAACTTTGGAATGTCAAGCCTGTGAGTCAGGCAGAAGATTGCCCGTCCGACTTCTTCATGAAACGCCGACTCGGCCATTACGAAATGAAGTGCCTTTAGGAGAAGCTATGCCATCTGACACAGCTAGAACTGTTGAGCCACAAAGAGGGGCTCGTTAGACAATCCTCGGGTCGACCTTGGGCCCAAGAGGTTTTCCTTTGAGTGACCCAAGATATTTTCGGGCGTCATTCCACTCGTCCTTGGAAAGGTCGCCCGAGGAGTGGCTGCCACGGGCTCGCTGGCCACGGGGGGGGGAGGAGGGAGAGGCGGGAGGGGGGCTGGAAGTGGTCCATGGGCTTTTGTCAGTGTGGACGGCGTGGTCTAGGGAAAATTCGAATGGCGGCGGCAGCCGTCCAAAAATGAAAAAATAAAATGCCCGAAAGTCCAGGTTCGAAATTCAAATTTCGAATGACGTTGTTGGGGTGAATGCAGATCGGCATGTGCCATCGCGGTTGTCCTTAGTGCCCATCTGCACGGAGAGTGGCGGAAAGCGTCGTGTAGACTTGCAACACAACGCCGGTCCCTCTTGTCAAGCGGTGCGTTTTCGTCATCCAGTGGAGAGTCGGTGGAGTTTGTGGGCGTTGGCGATGGTCATTTCCGCACCCTTTGTGGCGATGGATGTCGCCAACAATGTGAGGAGCGTTCAAAATTGAGCACGGCGAAGAGAACGACAGTGGCAACAATCGTTAACGTCGTGCTTCTCCATTGTCAGCTGGAGAGGATTGAGGGGACAATGAAAGCGCAGATCTGTGCACAGAGGGAAAAGACGATGCAGTCTATGGCGGTGGAACGCTTGGACACCACCACCCATCTGCGACGTCGTCGTTCAGGTGTGCTGCACCATGAGTTGCGGAGTTTTACCCTGAGCGACGCCCAGGTGGTGGATGAAAAGGACTCGGGGACATGGGAGGATCTGCGGCAATGCGACGACGCCACGAAAGATTACTTTCGGGACAAGCTACGCATGTCGCCACGCGTCTTTCGGGAGATTGCGGAAGCTTTGTCGCCCTTCCAGCAGCAGCGTGTGAAGTTCTAAAAGGAACCCATACAACCTGATCATATCATCGCTTATGCATTGTACAGGTGGGCCCCGGGGGAGACGTAACTGCGGGGTTCCTGACAATGTACCGGGAGAAGATTTCATGGCCGACGGGGGTGCAGAAGTCGGTCGTCCTACACTTTCACGTACGAGAGTGGCATGTGCAACTTCGGCATCGGCGAATCTTCAGGATTGGTGGCGGTGCGGGACGTAACTGGGGCGTTGCTGATAGTGTACCAGAATAAGATTTCATGACCGACGAGGGTGCAGAAGTCAGTCGTCCTAAGCGCTTTCACTGACAAAGGCTTCCCGAACTGCCATGGGTGTATCGACTGCACTCGTATCTACATTGATAAACCGGCGAATACCCCCTGCGAGGACTACTACGATAGGAAACGACGTTTCTTAGTAGTCGCGCAGGTGGTCGTCAATCTGAACTCGCGTGTAATGGACGTCTTCATCGGCTATACAAGAAGCTGACAGGACGTGAGGATTCAGTCTATGGGCACGTGCCGAGCCGCGTGAGCTTTTTACGGGACCACCTGTGATGCTCCCCTTTGAAATGCAGACCAACGATTATCTGTTGGGCGACAATGGTTAACCCCTCTCGGAATGGATAGCGGTTTCGTATGGCTGCAGTAGTGAACACCCGTCGGAGTTTTGCTTCGACAACAAGCAAAAGACCGTGAGGGGGGCAGTTGAAGGGTTTTCAACAGGCTGAAAGGGATGTGGAGGCTATTCTTGCAGTCACACAAGACGAACATCGAGAGGTTGTCGCTGCAGTTTGTCACCATCTGCATTCTACACAACATACTCATCGACATTGGCATCCCTTTCGACGACAGTCTGCTGTGGGAGGTGGACGCAAACGAGGTGCGTCGTTCACTGGATCCCAACGCCCCCTCAAGCCAGTGTGCATGGAAATGGCGAAGGGAGATGCGCTCATTCTGAGGGACGCATTGGCGGAGCGGATGAGTGGGCAGTGACGACCATCTGTCGTAGGTTGGTTGTGACGGCGGCATCAGATCTCTGGCGTGGGCGAACGGATATACACAACACCACCCCAGTCGTCGTCACTGCATGCGTCCCCAATGGTGCTCCGACGTGGCCAGCAATGGTCGTCACCCCTGCGTCCATGTGGCGGCATACGGTGGGCGAAGGTCTTTCACCATGTCAATTTATCAAAGCGTTTGTTGTTCTTCCTTTCGGGACTGGGTTGTTGTCGGAAGAAGATTGACGTGTGCATCTGATATATTGTCTTTTTTGTAATTTTTTGTTTTATCATCATTAGGATGAGCTACCGTCGTTCGTGGAGTGCTATTCTGACATCGTAGTCGTTGGCTCGTGTCGTTGTCGATGTCATTTTTGTATTTCTATGAAGTCTTATCTACGGGCCTCGTTTATTAGAGATTGTCTGTTTTTTCGCAACGAAATGTGTGACCTTTTGCTTACGGTCGTGTGTCAACCTCTGTGATAACGTGGCGTGCTGTGTGTTGGCCGCTCTCGTGTGAGAATGGTGCGCTCGTCGTTCGTGCTCTTCTGATGGGTTACATGCAGTGAATGTATTGTTCCAAGTTTCTCATTATTTCTTAATAATTATTTTTCCGTTCTTTTTCTTTTGTATATTTTGTTTGTTTCCTTTCGTGAAGTTGTATCTGTTGTGTTCTTGCGGGAGGCGTTTCAAATAATTAAGCAAAAGACACGGATGCGCAATCAACACTGAAGGAAGGCATGCATTACAAAGGGTGTCTTCAAATATTTCCATAACAAAGCAAAACGGTGGGAGGGCAGCCACCAATTCACAAAGAGCAACCATCACACTCGCATTTGGATGACAAGTGTACGGTAACAAAAATCAAAGTTCGTTGTGGCGGCACCGAACAGCACATGCATAGTTCTGAAATAAGACATGGTGCAACAAAACCCCCCTTTCCATCCTTGCACCATGCACTAAAACAAACTGATCATTACATTTTCCCCATCACAGATGGCAGCCAACCCCGTTAAACCGCATCCTACACAAAAGGCGATATGAAAATAGGACGAATGCACATCGGCGCGTTCCTCCACCCTGCTAACAAAAGCCGAAAGAGAAAACGTGCAAGCACCACCCATACACCTACAGCTTGATGAACCGACCGCCAGCCATCTTCCCTCCTTTGCAAGACGACAACCTCCACGTACGCCCCAGCCCACTCTCACAAACCATCCGCCGCCGTCGTCTCACCACGCCACCTTCAAATGACTACCCCCCTCCAGCTTTGTCTGCACCGCCGGTTCATCTTCTTCTTCCTCTGGGGGGCCTGTTCCCAATCCATCCAACTTTTTCACATGCATGGGCGACATCCAAGTGGCTTCATATTCAAAAGTGATGCCGCAAGATGCCCGATCCGGGATGTGGACAGGAGGGTCCGCGAACGTCATGGCAACCTTGCTGATTCTCTCCGTGACGAATGTGGCTGCTTAAACAATATGCCCACGAGCGTTGAAGGAGTGATGCATGGAGGCCACCAGTGTGGGTTCTGCTGTGAGTTGAAAAAAGAACGACGCGTCGAAATACGAACGCAAAGTATCCCCGCTCATCCGCATGAGTCACATCGTCGCTGCAAGTAGAAGCCTCATAGTCTCTACCATGTTTTTCAACCTCTCGTACGAGACGCAGCCACCATCTATCCCCTCCGCCAGAGTGACGGCGCTCATGAAAGCCCCCACAAGCCGCTGCAGGCTCACCTCTTGATACGACGACAACTCGTCGTCCTCGTGTCTGTCCTAGATGTGCGTGTCGATGAGCCAAATAGGGAGTCTCATATCCATCTTCAGCTTTCCGTGGAAAACCATGGCATTGCCACCACTTGCATCAGTCCTCTCCAAACCACATGGCACAGGTGGTCACCGTCGCCACGTGGTTGAGCACGTATCCATAAGTCGCGCGGCAGCCCCGCGACCGACGTGTGGGCTTGAAGATCCACCCATGAATGACGCACAAGGCGATGCTCGACACTTTCTACCCCCTGTCCTTCGCCGCCTTCAGCTCCGACTCGTCGTCGATTTTGTGTTGGGAGATGCTGTTGTGCAGGATTACTATATTCCGACAGATGTCGGGAGGCGCAACTCCATTGGCGATGGCCACCAAATGCAGTCGCGCCTCCTGGATCAACTTAAACAGGCCATTACCCTCTGTCTCGTTCCATAAGCACAAATCATCTACCCAAAGTTTGGTTCGTGCGTCGATCCCCTCTCTTACATGCCCTCGCCGCTGCCTGTTCACCACAGGCTCGTCGTCATCGCCATACCCACGACTTTCCCGGAGCATTGCAGCCACCCCCCCTCTCGAAGACCAAGCCACGACACCCCTTTGTGCATTCGCCAGGGGCGTGCGCTACGCTCCTTGGCCGCTCCCTTGCAACGCTCCATTCACACCCCCCCACCTCCGAAAGTGTATGTCCCCGTGGTGTGGTGGGGCTAGAAGGACCCCATCCAAACTGCTGCCCCTCTAGTGGCCTAGTGACACGTGTTGTTGTGGCATTTCCCCCGCAAGGCCCGTCTAAGCCCCTGCCTTCACTACGACCTCCGCCGGCACAGCAACGACGTCCACGTCGATGACTCCATCATTCCCACCACGGAACCCCCCACCGCGGGGTTGTTGAATACCTTGACGCCCCCCGTCATTTATTCGGACCCCGCCTTCTGCGCGCTTCGACAATTTTCTCGCAGCTCCCACCGTCGCCTTCTCCTTGAATTCATCATCGTCATCGAAAGTTGTTGGATCCCTAACCCACACGTCTTCCCTCAAGCCTCCTCTGATGGAAGGGCCCCCCACAACAGCCTTCCTCTTCTTCGCGGCATGCCCTCCACTCTTCTCCAGCGCCAGCACATCACCTACGCAACTGTCCCTCTTCTTGCCATGACCACCGCTGCGAGATGACATGCTGAAGATGACTACAGCGACAAGAGCAGTATCGTGTTGGTGACGTCTCCGCGAGTGGGCACCTTCCACAAAAGGGCGGTGAACACGTTGGCAATGAGCCTGCAATCACTTATCAACCGGGCTCATCTTCCACGCGGCCGCTGATGTGGCAATCTGCGTAAAATGCGGCTGTTGGGTTGGCGACGTGGACGTCGACGACTGCCCCTAGCGAAATTCACCTTCGTGGAGCACTCCAAACTGGCGCCGGAGAATAGCATGCAGAACGTGAGTATCGCGGTTGGTAGACGATGATCAATCGACGAGCACTCCAAACTGGAGCCGAAGAATAGCATGCAGAACGTGAGTATCGCGGTTGGTAGACAATGATCAATCGACGATGAAAGTGGAGTGGAAAACAACAATCATGAGACGCGAGAGGAGGAAGGAGGAAGGTGATCATTTTCGACATTTGTGCGGCGCGGCGCGGCGGGACAAAAAGGTTGACGGCGGTCGACTGAAAGTCCTGGCAGAAGGCTACACCTGGAGTAGTCTGTGTGGAAGTTGTGGGATGGAAAGGCGACGCGATCGTGGGCACGACAGGCTAGGCCCGCGGCACTGTCCTCGTAGCCGGTAGACGATTGCACGCACTATGCCTTAATGTGGATACACGGCAATATGGAGGCGGCGACGAAAAAGGAGGCGAGGCGAGACAGTCGAGAGGCGTCAATGAAGGTAGGAAGGAGGTCACGGCTGCTGATGCGGATAATCTTGAGAAAATGTAGTGCATATGCGTGAGCAAGGGCGATGGGCGAGGAGGACCTCCCAACACTCCGCCCGTGCGTTTCAATCGAGCGACAAGGACAACTGACAGTGACACGTCTGCTGCCCGTGCTTTTTACTGGCTCCATCGTCGTCCACTCCACGCCCTACGAAAGGTTGGAAAGGACGCCTGGTCCACCGTCGTCAACCTTCCAAGGTGTTCGTCATTCTCTAAGGCTAACGGTCCTCGGAGGGCAGCATCCGCAAATGGCACCCAACCCCCTCCCTGTCGGGGCCCCCATTACTGCCCCTAACACCCCCACGGAAATAGGCAACAGACCTTCAACTCCCCCCCTCTCCCCCCCCCCAACGTGACCTAAACAAGGCATGCACCCACACACACCATCCACAAATCGAACCCCGAACACCACCACCCACCCTCGATTCCGACCGGCTCGCCACATCACCCAACACGACGAAAAACACACTCATGCACATTCGTTGTGGCCTGCGTTTGTGGAATTCTAACAGATGTGTAATTACCTAAGGCATCTATTTCCAACAAATGTGTAATTTTAGAAGACATTATAGATGATTAAACGAAACCAAAAGTTTTGTGGTCTGAAGGTGCGCATGAATTCCCAAGTTAGTAATTTGCAAAATTCTCGGATATTCATATTCCAAAGGAGTACAACATTAAAGATGACACCTTTACGCAGAGACAACCATTTTCCGACGGCTTGGTATGTCATTACACAGGACGTGGTCATCCAAGCTTCGGACACCGCAACCATTTTGTGGTGAAGGTGAAATACACGGTGTAATCACATGAGACTACGCCAAAAACAGACTTCCGCCACTTGTCGTTCATATCATTTATTCTCACACACACACACCGAAACACGATGTCCTCATGGGACGCCATACGGGATATGAGAGAGAGAAAGAGAGAGAGAGAGGGAGGGAGAGAGTTTGAGAGAGAGTCAGCGAGAGAGCCAAAGAGAGAGGCAGACAGCGGACGGACCGAGACTAGTAAAATAAAACACAATGAAATCAAAAAAATCAATCTGCGGATAGTTATGCTCATCCCTGTTCGAAAGAAATACGAAAAATGGGAGGTGGGACTGTCTCCAGTAGAGAATGGCAGGCAGGGGAGGGTCACGCTACATGGCTGGTCATCATTCTGGGCAGCGCCACAAAACAACACATCTGAGGTACCGGTCGGCATTCTGCATATGCATTTAGATGGCCACGTTACAAAAAGTTCATCACCAAGGGCACAGGCAATAACATCGATCACAACAAGCCTCAACAAAATAGCACATCGAACACTCATGCCCAACTACTGAAGCGGAGCCACATAATAACACATCTGAGGCAGCGACCGACACTCTGCAAATGCATTTAGAAGGCCATATTACAGAAAGTTTATCAATAGGGGCACAGGCAATAACCTCGATCACAACAAGCCCCAACAAAGTAGCACAGTGAGATACTCATGCCCAGCTACTGAAGCTACGGACAACCAAAATCGGGCACAGTGACACCTGGACTGAACAGGACGTTAGAAAATGTCTATGAGCCCTCCTCAGGTTGGGCCCCTTGGTGGGAACGGCAGACAGGGAATGAGATCTGCTGCAGTGGGTTGTTAAGAGGCAACAACATGCTATGTAATACAAAGAACATATGAACAATTCGGGCAAGATTGACCCGGTTAAAGCGGTGTATGGGAAGGACCGTATCCGGAACCAACGCAGGCGAGCAACAGATGTGGACATGAGGTCCCTAAATGTGAATGGCTTGGCCTCATGCAAACCTGAAAAACAAAATGCAATCTGGGACTCAATGAGTGGGGTGGGAGGTAGGAACTGGCCAGATATAGTGTCTGTTCAGTAAACACACCTGATGGACACTCCGGAACATAATCGTATCCACAAAATGATATGGACATACAAGGCCTTCAAAGCCCATGCCCCAAGAACCGGGTAGTGCAGGGGTAGCCATCTGGATTCCCCCCGAGTCCCGGGCGGACCCAGTGCATTGGATGGTGGATCAGGAGGGGGGACGATGGGTGTCCATCCTGGTCACGCTGGAAATTGAAATTTTATGCACATTGTGTGTCTACGCCCCCAACACTGTAGTCGAGAGGAGAACCTTTTTTTAGAACATAAAGACGCAAATCCTGGATGGGGTTCTGGTCATCATAGCAGGGGACTGCAACACAGCCCCAGATTGATGGATGAACAGATGGTGAACACCGTCCCCTGCCCCGATGTATGTGGAAGAGGATGAGCGGACAATCCACGAGTTATATCTGTCTCTAAAAGTTCTTGAGTCCTTCCGACGGCTAAACCCGAATACCAGGTTCTATTCGTGCCTACGGAAGACTGGTACTGAGGGTTAGTCGAGATTTCGGATAGACTTGACTCTGATATCAGAAGATATGGCAGGATCGCTGCTCCTAGCAGCAATCTTACCTGTCAGTCCTTACCCGGGCCTTTATCATAAAATGTGTATGGTCATTTTGTCGTTCCGACATAAACCTGACCGTGGACTTGACTTTTACAAACTCAATACCTCTATCTTAAAAGAGAATACCTTCCATAATTAAATTAAGGACTGTTGGGCATTCTGGCACACACAACAACAACAAATTCAGCAGATGTAGACTGATTTAACAACGGACTGTTCTATCTGGGTAAAAAATGTCAAGAATATTCCAAACTCTTAGCTATTAGAAAACATCAACAGAAGACGGAAGTTCACCAACAACTGCAGCAATTGGAGCACCAAGATCAACCAAACAACTCGCATAATGTCCAACAGATACCGCACACACAGCCAAAAGATTGTTCAGAGGTTCGAAGGCTACAACAACGATTTCACACCTTTGTCACACAACGTTGTGAGGGAACACGAATAAGAGGTAGACTGACAAAGTTACTAACGGAAGGAACAATGGACAAAATTTTTTTTAGTATGGCTCGAGCACGTGCGCACTGAACAACCATAGAAGCGCTATACGATCCACAAACCGGACACCAAGACATTGTCACCTCCTCCCCCCACTGCTTGCAGATAGCCAGGTCTTTCAATGATCTGTTCACTTCAACATGTGCCCAGCGGGAGAGGAACGTGAGGGAGAAGGAAATAGAAGATTTCTTGAAACCATTGGAAAAGACCCTGATGAGCCAGCAACAAACAGGATCCGGATCGTCCCCTGTTCAAGGAGGAAATCTGGACGGCGATGATACAGATGGATAAAGAGAAGACCCCGGGCACTGATGGATTTTTCAAGGAATTCTGGGAGACGTTTTGGACTCAATTGGCCCCGTACCTCATGGATTACTATTCTTCAAGGATCTGTTCACTTCAAGATCTGCCCAACGGGAGAGGAACGGCAGGGAGAAGGAAATAGAAGATTTATTGAAACCACTGGAAAAAACCCTGACGGGCCAGCAACAAACAGATCTGGATCATCCTCCGTCCAAAGAGGAAATCTGGACGGCGATGATGCAGATGGATGAAGAGAAGACCCCGGGCGTCGATGGATTTCCCAAGGAATTCTGGGAGACCTTCTTGACCCAAATGGCCCAGGACCTCATGGATTCCATGTGTGGGACACAGGGTGGATGGGGGAGTTGGTGGGGCAAGGGATGCTCACCCTGTTGCATAATATCAAGAACTACCGGCCGATAACGTTCCTCACAGTTGTCTATAAAATATTTGCATTAGCCCTGGCAAACCGACCAATCCCGGTCCTGAACGATATTATTCACCCAACGCAGACCGGTTTCGTCAAAGGACGCAGGATTCAAAATAATATTCTCCTAATTAATTAGTTTCTCAAATTAACAAGGCAACATAAGAAGAATGCGGTTGTAGTCTTCATTGACTTTGAAAAAACATATGACCGCGTGGACTGACTTTTATTAGACAAATGTATGAAAAAAAAGAACATTGGACCAGTTTTCCGATGTTGAACCGAAGTACTACATCATAGTGCCACCACGTGTGTCCGAGTCAATGACAGGATATCGCCGTCTTTTCCGCTGCAACGATCGGTTCGCCAAGGGGATCCTTTGGCACCCTTCCTCTTCATCATAGTGATGGAAGCGCTGGCAGCGAACCTCCGCGCCAATAAAGACTTGAGGAGACTGCAGATCTCTGCTATCCCGGAAGACATGGTCCCTGTTTGCTCGATGTTTGCGGACGACTTGACTCTTATGATAGATGCCACGACAACAAACATGAAAGAGATTAGGAGATTATTTGACCGATTTACAGCAGTCTCAGACATAACTG